GGCCCAGCCACGATGCGTCAAGGAAGGCCGATTGCAAAACATCGCATTCTCATACATTGAAAAGCAACCCCCCTCAATCCCCCCCCAGGGCCGCCGCCGAGTCGTCGACCCGTTTCCACGTACTTTGTGAAAACCTAAAAAAACGCATGGAAGTCATTGATTTGGGCCTCGGGACCCTCCTCGAAGCCCACAAGGGGCGTCAAGAAGGCGAATGATGGTTTCAAGGCGGCCCAAGAGAGCCCCACAATTGCCCCAAGACGGCCCAACATGGCCCCGAGAGGGCCCAAAAACCTACCAAGAACGCCCCAAGAGGGCCCCAAGAGGATCCCCAATAGCGCCTCCAGAAGCCACAATCATAAATGTTCGTATGGTTGTGGGAAGATTTTAATGTTCTCGCCTTTCTCGACTCTGACAAACCAGTGACGGCCCAAGCAGCCTGCATAATGGCCCCCAGAAGGCCTAAGAAGCCCCCGAGAGGGCCCCAAGACGGCCCCAGAGGCCCCCAAGACGGCCCAAAGAGGCCCCCAATACGGTCCAAGAGGCCCCTTCGACGGCCCAGAAGGACCCCAAGAGAGCCCCAAGGCGGCCGCGGGATCCCCCCAGGACGATCTTCCAAGGGGCGATACAACGCAAAAGCGCCCTGTCGCGTGGAAGTTGGTCACGGCGGCGCCCATGAGTAGAGCCGGCGCTGGGAGGGAAGATGGGGCCGCCGCTTCCCTCATCGCCCTCCTCATCCTCCTCATCGTCGTCATCCTCATTCCTATCCCCGTCTTTTCCCTCCTGTTCTTCCTCATCGTCCTCATCGCCCCCTCAGCCCGAGGTTGGAACCTCGACGAGCGAGTCTCCACGTCCCCGCACCTTGGCGGAAATCCTCGCTACGATGGCTGAAGGCAGCACGTTCACGGTGCATTCTAACTGCGTGAGCGGTTCTAAGACACCTCCAAAGAGGCCCCCACCCAAGACACCTCCAAGAGGCCACAAGGAAGCTCCCAAAAGGCCCCGCAACAACTGGACTGTACGTGGTCCGGACGTGCACACCCGCGAAGCGAGAGGAATCCACGTCCGGAAGTGACGTGTTGCCGGAGGCAGGTCGCGCAGCGGAGCGGAAGCCCTAATGCAACGTATCCAATGTTTCCAATGATTGCATAATTGCCACATATTCTATTGTGTTACATTATTATGTCTCCCCCCTTAATCCCCCCCCAGGGCCGCCGCCGAGTCGCCGACCCCTTTCGTCCACTAATTCAACAACCTACAAAAACCGATGGACATCATTGATTTCGGCCTCTGGGCCCTCCTCGGAGCCCACAAGGGGCGTCAAGACGGCTCAAGATGGTTTCAGGGCGGCCGAAGAGAGTCTCAAAACGGCCTCAAGACGACCCAATATGGCCCCAAGAGAGCCCAAAAGCTCACAAGACGCCGCCAGAGGGTCCAAAGAGGACCCCCCAAGAGCGCCTCCAGAAGCCAAAATCATAGATTGTCCTATGGTTTGGGGAATATTTTCGCGTTCTCGCCTTTCTCGAAGCTGACAAGCCAATGACGGCCCAAGCACCCTCCAAAAGCACCCCAAGAAGCCCCAAAAAGCCCTCCAAAGGGCCCCAAGACGGCCCGAGAGGGCCCCAATACGGCTCAAAGCAACCCCCAAGACGGTCCAAGAGGCCCCATAGGACGGCGAAGAAACATCCCAAGAGTGCCCCAATGCGGCCGTGGGAGGCCCCCAAGACGGTCTCCGAAGGGGCGAAACGGCGGAAGAGCGCCCATAGACGGGCCAGGACGCCCCCAAGAGGCCCCAATATGCCCCAAATAGGCCCCCAAGGGGCCTCAAGATGCCCCCAAGAGGGAGGCATGGCGGCCCAAACTGCCTCCAAAATTGCCACCGAGAGGATGACACATGCGACGGTCCACGTCCGGACTGCAGCGAAGCGTCTCGGCACTCCGACAGGGCGGGTGTGTGACGCCAGGGCCCAGCCACGATACGTCAAGGAAGGCCGATTGCAAAACATCGCATTCTCATACATTGAAAAGCAACCCCCCTCAATCCCCCCCCAGGGCCGCCGCCGAGTCGTCGACCCGTTTCCACGTACTTTGTGAAAACCTAAAAAAACGCATGGAAGTCATTGATTTGGGCCTCGGGACCCTCCTCGAAGCCCACAAGGGGCGTCAAGAAGGCGAATGATGGTTTCAAGGCGGCCCAAGAGAGCCCCAAAATTGCCCCAAGACGGCCCAACATGGCCCCGAGAGGGCCCAAAAACCTACCAAGACGCCCCAAGAGGGCCCCAAGAGGATCCCCAATAGCGCCTCCAGAAGCCACAATCATAAATGTTCGTATGGTTGTGGGAAGATTTTAACGTTCTCGCCTTTCTCGACTCTGACAAGCCAGTGACGGCCCAAGCAGCCTGCAGAATGGCCCCCAGAAGGCCTAAGAAGCCCCCGAGAGGGCCCCAAGACGGCCCCAGAGGCCCCCAAGACGGCCCAAAGAGGCCCCCAAGACGGTCCAAGAGGCCCCTTCGACGGCCCAGAAGGACCCCAAGAGAGCCCCAAGGCGGCCGCGGGATCCCCCCAGGACGATCTTCCAAGGGGCGATACAACGCAAAAGCGCCCTGTCGCGTGGAAGTTGGTCACGGCGGCGCCCATGAGTAGAGCCGGCGCTGGGAGGGAAGATGGGGCCGCCGCTTCCCTCATCGCCCTCCTCATCCTCCTCATCGTCGTCATCCTCATTCCTATCCCCGTCTTTTCCCTCCTGTTCTTCCTCATCGTCCTCATCGCCCCCTCAGCCCGAGGTTGGAACCTCGACGAGCGAGTCTCCACGTCCCCGCACCTTGGCGGAAATCCTCGCTACGATGGCTGAAGGCAGCACGTTCACGGTGCATTCTAACTGCGTGAGCGGTTCTAAGACACCTCCAAAGAGGCCCCCACCCAAGACACCTCCAAGAGGCCACAAGGAAGCTCCCGAAAGGCCCCGCAACAACTGGACTGTACGTGGTCCGGACGTGCACACCCGCGAAGCGAGAGGAATCCACGTCCGGAGGTGATGTGCTGAGCGGGAGCGTTTTCCGGCGAACGCCTTAATGCAACGTATCCAATGCATCCAAAGATTCCATACTTGCAACATATTGTTTTGTGTTGCATTATTATGTCTCCCCCCTAACCCCCGCTGGGAGCTGCGCCACACCGCCGGACCAAAGTGATCCCCCCTTCTGGGGCCTTAAAAACCTACAGCAACCTATGACAAATCAACAAATTCGGCCTCTTGGGCCTCTTGGGTCTCCAAGAGGGCCTCAAGATGGCCCAAGATTGCCCTAAGACGGCCCAAGACGGCCCAAGATATTCCCAACGAGGGCCCATGAGGCCCCCAAGACGGCCCCAAGAGGGCCCCAAAAACTCCAAGGACGGCCCAACAGGGCCCAAGAGCGCCCATAACTGCGCCTCCAGAAGCCGAAATCATTGATTTGCCGATGGTTCTTTCAATATATTAGCGTTCTCGTCTTTTTCGGCTTTCAAAAATCCATGACGGCCCAAGCAGCTTCCAGAATCGCCCTAGAACAGCCCAAAAAGCCCCCAAGAGGCCCCAAGACGGCCCAAGAGGGCCCCAAAACAACCCAAAGAGGCCCCCAAGACGGTCCAAGAGGCAGCGAAGACGGCCCAAGAGGACCAC